ATGCAACAATTGATATTCTCTCCTCTTCATTTCCACTAATTTAGCCTTATTACTCTTCTTAGTTGGCACCTCAACAAGAATATCTTCCTCATCAGAACCCTCAACATCTTCAAAGAAAAATTCAGGGACATCTGCAAGTCCCTCCTCCGCTTCAAGAACTTGATCAAAACGAACATCATATGTATTCTCTTCATTATTGTCACCAACTTCTTCAACCTCTGTTTCGTTCCCATCACCATCATTGTCTTCATTAAGAAGACCAAAGTCTTGAATCTCAACACCCCCCATATCAATATTACACACAATATCATTCATCTACATCAACAAAAAAAGAAAATAATCTATGAAAAAATTACTCGTATCAAATAAATCTTGAAATCAAATCACCCTCATTAAAAAAAACCCTAATGTTATTATATAAAAAAAGAGATGTGATGAACCTAAATTAAACCCAATTTGTGGATTAAAGCACAATTCCACCGAAATAAAGAAGTTAGAAAGAAATCATTTAGAAAGAAAGAAAGAAAATCTAAGAGAAAGCATACCTTTGTGGAGGAAACGGCGCATCAAGAGTTCAGACAGATTTGGGTGGAGGCTGTGAAATATCAACAGAGTTTAGTTCGGTTAACTGTGCCGGCTAAAGGGGCATTGATGTAGGGTTTTTTAAAATGAAGGGGGAATGGAGTAAGTTTTTAAAGTAGAGGGGGCACCGATGAACATATAGGAAACCACGAGGGGGGACGCTGCAATAAACTCTCATTTACAATACTAGAATGGGTGGGGGGTTTATCGGAATCCTATCGAAAAATAGTTTTTGAGCGAAGTGGTTATAGAAATAAAAAATAAGGGGTCCGGGGTTGGAGAGGGGAAATGAATGATCAATTTTACGAACGTAACACTGTAATAATTTCAATTGAAGTTGGTGTCATCGATTAATGCTCATTTTGAGTGTCATTGGAACCTAATATAACCGTATTAACAATTACATTTCTTATATGCTAATGGTGCTATATTGTTGAAATTTGCACTAAATAGGACTAAAACATAATGACTTTCCTAATGTAGGATTTAAATTTTTTTATTCCCTAAATAGGGCTTAATAATGACCTAGTGGGAGGAATAATGTCCAGTAATGATGGACATTTAGTTGAATAATGACTACTTGATAATGACCAAAGGTCCAACATTGGGAAATAAAAACATATGATCCTATATTGGGAAGTCATTATGTTTTAGTTCTATTTAGGTAAATTTCTTTATTGTAGAAACCAAATAGTAGCATGTTTTTGTTAGGAGGTGTGATTTTAGCTATTATTTTTCAGTGTTTGTGTGTACTTCTGAATTTATTTAATTTGACAATTGGTAGCCCTATGAATTCAAGATGCACATTATACATGATCTTGAATGACAACCCTTTTTTATGTTATTCTTTCATTTCATTTTGCAGAGGATAGATTCTACTTTTAAATAAGTGTTTCTTTAAGAATTGAACAATCTCCCAATGGATTTTTTCATATCTATCAATTTATCATTTTTGAAATTTATTACGTAATTATAAATTAACCACATCTTTTAATAATGACGTGTGCATTATACTCCCTCATCTTTGTCCTTAAAAGATTACCTCAATTTGACTTTTTTGGTCAAACTGTAACACATTTTGCCCGTGAATTATAGAAAAAGTATATTTAGTTATAATAAAAATTTAGTAAACTTGAATTCATTTTAAAATATAGTTTTGAAATATCGAATTTCTATAATATTTAATTATTTTAAACTATATTTAGGATGTATTTGGTGAGCAAACAAGATATGCGTTTTGATATCTCCAGATATTAGAATTCTTTTTGGGTGTTTGGTGAAACCAAAAAAGATATCGAATCCGATATCTCTTGATATCATTAATCCTCCAAATTGAAAGTTTTGATATCTCCCAAATTTGTGAGATATCAATATGGGGATATGTCAATGCTACGAACTCGTATCGGATAGGGAAGACTCAGAGCGTCTTCGAGCTCTTGAGAATATGGGATGAGGAAGAAGAAGAATTGAGGCGAAAGAGGAAATCGGCGAACCGAGAGGGGGAAAAGGAATTAGGGTTTTGAGTTGTTTATTGATTGATTAACTCTAAATGGGGTTACATCTCTTTATATAAGGAAGAAGGAAATCCTAACGCTAACCTGACGGTTCAATAAAAGCGACGAGGGAAAGAACCGTAAAGAAACCTCGAAGGAGCTTATAATTTCGCTCACCTAATAAAATCTACATTACAATAATAATAATAATAATAATAATAATGATGATGATGATGATGATGATGATGATGATGATGATGATGATGATGATGATGATGATGATGATGATGATGATGATGATGATGATGAGGATGAGGATGATGATGATGATGATGATGATGATGATGAAGATGATGATGATGATGATGATGATGATGATGATGATGATAATAATAATAATAATAATAATACTATTAAATATCCTATTCTACTATCCATAACAACCCATCACATGTGATGTGAGGAAGTAGGGTTAAAGAGGGGTATTGCTGTAGTACATTTTGGAGAAATTGAAATGTTTTATGGGACAAGTAAGATGAGAAAGTTGAAATATTTTGTGGGACGGAAGGAGTACAAATTTACCAATTCAAACGACTTTAAAACTTATTCTATTAAATAATTTCAAACAATCTGAACACTATTTACTTTCAAATTTATTAAATTATACTTATAGCTTATTATTTATTAGATTTTCATCCTATAAAATTTAAAATTATTTTATCATACTTAATGTGTTTTTATTTCCAAAATGAACTAATTATTTTTTCACATTTAATGAGTTTTAACACCACTATTCCTCCAATTTCTCTAACTTCTTTCAATGTTTTCTAACATTTTGTTTTAAAAATCAAACCGAAAAGAACTTTGTCTAATAGTACTTTATAGATTTATAAAAGTATATTACAGAGTACACCGTATATTCTTTCGTAAATTATTTGAAAAGTCCTAAAAATTGATGATGATGATCGATGATGATGCTAGATTTTTTGAAAATATAGAAGATTCACCGTATATTTTTACATGTTTATATTTTTACATGTATAAATTATTACTCGTATTAAATTATTAGGAGTACATGTTTAAATTATTACTCGTATTAAAATTGAGGATACCAGTGGCCACCGAAGCCACTGTCCCCCCTACGGAACCTCATTCATAAAATTGATGATTCGTACCCCTTATCCCCCGGTAAACCCCCGCCAAGTTTCGAACCAAGCTCATCCCCCACCTACGTCAATTGCACCTCGTAATTAAGTATGATTGACTTTAAAGTCAAACGTTTTGACTTTATACTTACGAGGTGCAATTGACGTAGGTGGGGGATGAGTTTGGGTCAGGACTTGGCGGGGGGTTTACCGTAAGGGTTAGGGGGGTAGGAATCATTAATTTTACAAAACAGAGCTCCGTAGGGGGGCAGTTACTTCCGTGACTATTAGAATCCAGTGGCCACGGAACCGGACCGCCGAAAGTAATCAATGGAGTGATTTGTGATTTCCAAAGATTATTTTATCATCATACAAGGGAAGTAATTTTCCTCCTCTTCCCAATTAAATAATTTCTTTTTACATTGTTTTTGGTTCATGCCAAAATTAAATTGATCTTCCTCGTAAATTTCCCATGCACTTCTTAACTTGGTAAATAATTAAATACTCCATATTTTTTTTGAATGCTATTGACTCTATTACAAGGTAGTATCTGTTCATACTATTCTCAAGCTAATGACTAATGACGCACAAAGAGCCAATGCTGCTGCCTTCGCTGGGGCTCGAACCTGGGTGAACTTCTCCATGAATCCTGGGGAGTGGGCTTGCTACCACTCAAGCCAGGGGAGAAGTTCAAATACTCCATATTAATAAACCTGATTTTGTGAAATCTCACCCCACTTGCATACGGGTATACCATATATATTTAAAATCCTAATCGTGCATGTGTTTGGAAACTTGAATTTGAATTTCAAATTCAGATTTCATCCAAATTACAAAGTACTTGTTGAGAAGTCAAAGAATTTCGGTTTAAAATATCCATCCCCATATCAATTACATACATATCAACCGGCTTCCGTTATCGTCTTTGCTGAATTCAAAATTCAAATTCTAAAATTGAAATCCTATGACTTCTTAAACAATATTTTGAATTTGAAATTATGGAATTTCAAATGTTGGAATCCTTTACTATAATATTTGAGACTCGACTCAAAGAATTTCGACACGTGGGGGGGGGGGGTTACTTGGGTTCTTTAACAAGTCATTAGCCACATATTTATTATTTTAATGAGTTGACAATTTTAATTATATACGGAGTAGTGATTTGTCATTAGTTTATTTTATTTTTTATTGATTGAACATGGTGACTAAATTAATAGTTTTTTGTGAGTTTCATGTTGTCAATCTTAAGAATTAGTAATCCCATTTTTTAACACTCTGGTTCTTTTTTTGAGTAAAATGTTTAACCAATAATTTTTTTTAAAATACATTAGTAAAAAACCAATAAAAAATATTTCATTAAACGTATTTCTAATTTAGATATTATATTCTAATTTGTATATGTTAATTCATTGTATATTTATATATGTAGCTATTCAAATATCTGACAACAAAGCAAACAAAAACAGTTAATGAATAATTTTTTAGAATTATTCAAAGATACTAATTTATCTACCATATATACATATAAAGGGTATGGAACACTTCATATTTTTGGATTTAGAATTATATTTTTGCATAAAAAATTGATTTTAAATCATTCATTTTTTTGAAATAATTAGTAATGCACATACTTCTCTTAATAAATTTTATTAATTTTATATTTATGTTAGTGGTTTTATTCCAAAGAAGCATTATTTTTTTCATTTATAACTTTTTCCCCTTTTAATAACGTATTACTTTTTAGCACTAATATATTATGCATTTACGTACTTTTTATAGGCTTTCCCCTTAAATTATTACATAAACTAAGAATATAAATTAAATTTAAAATATACAAACCAATGTAAATGTTGTTTAAAAAATTAGACAATATTCATTTTATAGGCTTTCCGATCCCCTTTAAAAGAATATTCACATTAGTTTGTATATTATAAATTTAATTTATATTCTTAGTTTATGTTAATTATTTATGGGGAAAACATACGGAGTATAAAAAGTATGTAAATGTTTAATATATTAGTGATAAAAAGTAATACTTCCTCCGTCCCAAAAAGATTGGTACATATTGACTTTTTAGGAAGTTAAGGGAGGGATATTTTGGTGTTGACTTTCCAAAAATACCCTTGATGTGATGGTAAAAGTAGGATGTGATGGGTAGATTATTAGGAAAAAGTTATGATGTGATAGGTAGGGTATGAAAAAGTAAGGGGTAAAAGTGGTTTTTTAATAGAAATGTAACGTACTTTACGGGACGCGGTTTTTTCGAAACGTGTCGGACTTTTTTGGACGGAGGGAGTATGTTAAAAGGGGGCCGGGAAAAAGTTATAGATGAAAAAAATAATGCTTCTTTGGAATAAAACCACTAACATAAATATAAAATTAATAGAATTCATTCAGAGAAGTATAGGCATTGCTTATAATTCCATAAAAATGAATGATTCAAAGTCAAATTTTTTATGCAAAAATATAATTCTAAATAAAAAAATATGAAGTGTTCCATACCCTCCATACATATATATGGTACACAGATTAGTATGTTTAAATAATTCTAAAAAACATTATTCATTAACTG